GGTTCTTTGAGTACCGCTCGCTGCGGAAAGCACTCTGGCTCACCTGAGTAAAACAAAGTAAAAGTTTTTTTTTAGTTCTTTTGAGTCCTGAGGGGGAAAGACCTCTTCAGTACCGATCTCTGCAGAAATTACACAGGCACAGCAGCGAGAGACAAAAGGTTTTCTCCTTTTTGATTTCTGTCGAGTCCTGTCCGCCGAGGGGGGGGTTCTTTGAGTACCGCTCGCTGCGGGAAGCACTCTGGCTCACCAAAGTAAAAAGAAGAAAAAGTTTTTTTAGTTCTTTTGAGTCCTGGGGGGGAAGACCTTTTGAGTACTGTTCTCTGCAGAAAGCACTCCGGCGCTGCTGCGATTTTTTTTTTTTTTTTTTCAAGTTCTTTTGAGTCATATTCGCTGAAAGGGGGGGCGGAAAGAAAAGAGAAGGGTTGTTTTGAACTCTTTTGAGTCCTGCTCGCTGGGGAGAGGGAAGTCTTTAGAGTCCTGTCAGCCACCGAGGCTCTCCGAGACGGCCGCGAAAAAGAAGGGGATGGGCCTCTGGGGTCCCGATCGTTGAAGGGGGAAAGCCTTTCGAATTCGGTGCGAGACAGCGACAATAAAGGTTGTCTTCGGTGGGGTGTCAAAAGACAGCCCTTCCTCAGGATCGGATTTCTGGCCCTCTCCTGGTCACACGCAGGGCAGACCGGGCGGTCAACCGCCCAAAGCGAATCTCGGGCCAGGAGTCATTGAGTCCTCCAAGGACGGGTATCCGGGAGACCGGCGTCTCCAAGCAGGCTTGTTCACGGGAGACTCTATCGAGAACTGTGATCTTCTAGGGTACTCCGACGGCGGAGAGAAGCCTCTGAGAGAGGAGAGGAAGATAGAAGGGGGGGAGTGCACGACAAAGTGGCGCCGTTGCCGGGGATGAGCAGTTCTCCCGCGGCCGCGGCCGGCTCAGCAACTACGGGGTGAGGGAGGACCGGCGTGACAGGCAGCGGTAAAGTAAGTTTGCGGCTTTCTTCTGAATTTTGGCATCGAGTTCTTCGGCACGTGTCTTCAAATTAGTCTCCAGCGTGTTCATCACGGTAATCAAGTTTCTTCTCAAAGCGACGTCGGCGAAGGGTTTATTGGGGAGGGGCTTGTTGTTGGGGTTTGTCGGGGGCGAGGGGTTTTCGGGTGTTGGGGCTTGTCTCCTTGGTTGCTTTTGCAGGTCCGCTCCGGCCCGCCTGCGATCTCGGCTCCCACTTCCGACCGTCGAAGGGTAAAAACAGGTCAGTTCCTTTTCGTGTGCTTGGTTTTTGTGCTTGTTTATTTCTAAAAACTCGAAAAACTAAGGGGGTGCAAAGTTTGCCTGAGGGGTCTGAATGAGGGTGAAGAACAACGAAAGGGGAGGAAGAAGAACAGTCCGGGGAAATAGTATAAGGGGGTCTGCTGAATGGGGGGAGAGGGAGAGAGAAAGAGGGGAAGCGGGGAGAGGTGTAGAGGCGTGGTACCGGATAGGCTAATTAGGACTAGAGGTCGGTTCAGTGGGGGACGTAGGGTGCGGGTGTGTGACTTCGGTCCGACTCCGGGGAGGGGGTTGCCACCCTTCCTCGGGGATAACCTGTGTCCGCGGCTAGTCTCTAGTCCGGGGGTGGGGAGGAGTCTCTCAGCGGGGGAGGACAGGAAGGTAGCCGAGTGAGACGGCGTTCCTTCTCTGGTCCATTTGATCCTTCTGAGCTCACAGGCTTCTCTTCCTCGCGGGATAGAGGTGGTCTCTCGAGTGGCCAATAGGAAGTGAGAATTTAGGGAAGTTTCCTTTGATTATACTGTATGAGCCAAGAAGCCACTCCCGAATGGATTAGTGTGTGTACCCACGGAAGTGTTGATGTGTGGTGCTATTCCTTTAGACTATGGACAGGGGACTTTGATGTAGGTGTTTATGTAGAGGAGGGGCGGGATCAAGGAGAGGACTTCCTTCGAGGGTGGGAAGAGGCGATAGGCGACTCCCGTTGTTCGCGGGAGGAGTTAAGGGGTTACGAATTCAAGTATTTCTACTCTCTAGGATATCGTACCTACCCGAGAGGTGGTCGCCCGACGCCGGTAATTCCGGACGCTTATCTTGATGGGTCGGATGGATGGAAAGTACTAATAGGGATAGTGAAGCATATGGTGAGAGCGGCGGATCCATGAGCTTGAGGCCTTTGGGGTTTGAGCCTGCGGGGATTAGTGTGGGTGATATAGGCGGAGTAGATGTTTGGTGCTATACCTTCTACTGGTGGACCGGGCACTTCGACATAGCCTTGTACGTGGAAGAGGGAGTAGATAGAGCGGCGGGGTATTTGGATAGCTGGGAGGAGGCGATCGGTCACGTGCAACTTGAGAGGCATCTGCTAGGGGCTTACGAAATTAACTATTTCTACTCGTTGGGGTGCCGGACGTATCCCCGAGGGGGTAGGCCAGTCCCCACTATTCCGGACGCCTTCCTGGACGGGTCGGACAAGTGGAGTGCGCTAGTTCAAATCATAGAGGAGGTAGTCCTAGGGGATGGTTAGAATCATAGAGGGTACTGAAGAAGAAGGGGTTCAGATTGAGAAAGTTGACTTAAGTAAAGACCGAGAGTGCTCCAACATCCCTTTAGACCACCGCACGAAGCGGTATCTAGCCGGTCGCGAGAGAGGGGTAGAGCTAGAGAGAGGGGTTTTTCTCTGGGCTCGTTTCGCAGTGGGAACTTGGGAGGGGGACAGGTGGTCCCGAAACCGGCCCCACAACGGGAAGAGACCGAGGCGAACAGTGATCCGTGCGGAAGGAACAGTCTACTTGAGTAAGGAAGCTTGGATCGAGTACGTCACTCATTTGGTCCTGGGGTGGTACCGTGCGGATCATTGGGAAGCACGGGCAGGACCGATTTTGAGGCAGATCTTTGAGGGTGACCCCCTTAGACACTGCCCACCCGTCGAGGTAAGGGTGACGTGCGCCCGGGACGGAGAGTACCCTCGTGCCACAGGGTGCGTCAGGGCCATATTCCCGTCGTTTGTTTTCCGAAAGGTGAGCGGAAAGGAGGAACGATACGACAGGGTAGTGCGGTCCATAGTGCGGGAAAGGGGGTGGCAGCTCTCTGTTAGGTCACTCCATTGGTACTACACCTACTGCGTAGATAACCCGGTGTCATACGAGATCAAGGCTTGTAGGATTCGTATCGGGATCCTTAGGGAATCCACCCGGGACCGCGAGGAAGGAAGAGACTACGGTTACCAAAGGGTCTTCGGGGTGCCACAGAGGGTCTTTTAGATGAATGGTGTTCAGTGATAAAAAGCAGGGGTGCTTCTAAGAGTCCCCATTAGAAGACAGTGAGGCCCTTAGGCTGATCCCCAACAACGGGGAAGTCCCTGATTGGGAAAGGGTAAAAGAGGGCCGGTCCACGGTCAGTGGGGAATTTGTGTGGGTGGAGTCCAAGGAAGTAGAAGGCCAAGGTGTTGGATGGAGCCTTGACGTGACCGCGGTTATTTACGTAGCGTCTGAAGCCTGGGCAAAGCTTGTTCTACCCCTAGTTCTGGGACCAGGGGGTGGGCTGGAAAAATTGTTGCGAGAGGCGAAAGAGGTGATAGGAGAATGGGTAAGTAGGGTTAGGGAGCGATTTGCGTTCGTGTCCGTGGAAAGGGAAAGGTTCGCGAGGGAAGGTGAACTCCCAAGGTCAAGATACCCCTTGACTCTGAGGGTGCCGTCTTACCTGTTCCCTAGGGCAAACGAGGAAAAGATAGTGCGTCTTCTAGAGAGGGGTAGGAGTTTGGGCCTTACCTTCTGGTCCCTGTGGATACTCTATACACACTGCATCGATCAAGGTATTCTGCCGCGCAGGAAACTCTGGGGTATTTTCCGTAGACTGGGTTCTTTAGAGAAGACCTACGCTCTCTCTCTGGAAAATTATCACAGGAGGGTCTTTAGGGCGACGAAAGCCGATGGTGAAGTTCGTCCTCAGTGAAGAAAGGTTGGTAGAATCGATAGAGGCCAGTGATCCCGAGAAGGTCTTGATCCCGGGAGACCCTCGGGTGACTCCTTATTGGATCAGTGTTGAGAAGGGGGGATTAATCAGAGAAGGGGCCTATGTGTGGGTTCGAGCGTGAAGGCTCACTTGGAAAGAGGGTGTGGAGAGAGGAGGCCCACCCGACATCGGTCGCTTCCTAGAAATCCGAGCCACCATTTTTTTTGACGAAGAGAGGTGGACCGAGGTCTGGAGAGGTTTAGTGACCGGGCAGCTTACGCACGTTAAGTACCGAGAGTCCGCCAGGCGGTTGGCGAACGACCTGGTGTTAACAGATTATGAGGAGGGGACTTTCGAGTCGTGGTCCCTAGTTTCCTTCGTCGAGCCCGGAGAGGTCCCTCGCGCTTCCGGGGTCCTTCACGCTAACTTACCCCAGTTCGTGGCCAGTTCGTTCCTAAGGGACCCGGAAGAGAGAGTAGTGGTGGTGCTTAGGTATGCTCGAGAATCCGGGGTGCGGGCTAAGGGGTTTGTTTTGGCTTTATACTCGGTGCGTGGACGCGGGAATTCCCCCAAGGAGTGAGCTATCCACCATATTTGGAAGATTGAGGGAGTTTGAGGGACTCCGATCCCTCGTTGCGGACGTTCCGTATGCTCGCTTCTTCGGAGAGGAGCAGGTGGCAAACCGAAGGGGGTTTGAGGGCCGATGATAAGAAGGATTCCGAGGACTCTCTGGGCGTCCATAGAGCCCGTAAAGGATACCGGGGAGGTTATTAGAATCACTCTGCCTACGGCCCCGCTGGCCGAACCAGCTAGGACTCTCCTACGAGAGGAGGGGGGGACCCGACGAGGGAAGGCGTTCGTACGCTTCGTAGTGAGTTGCCAGGGACAGGTCGTGGTTGGAGAAGCCAGGTATTCCTCTCGAAGGAAGGCTTTGTTGAGATAGCGTGTAGCCTATGGACTGGGCAAGACCCTCTCTGGGATGCGTAAGCCGTAAGGGGCCAGTTAGAGGAGTTAGTGGAGGGGTTGGGGCCTCACGAGGGGTACGAAGGAAGACATCTAGTGCCCTACGAGGGTTGAGAGGAGATACTGCGATTCCTCTCCAGCGAGCCTGTGGAGGTCCCCCGATTCATTTTTGAGCGGGTTTACCCCTCCGAGACTGTTAAGAAGGCGGTGGGAAGAAGGGTTTCCATCCTAAGTCAGTTCAGGTTCACGGGAACAGACCTACACACCTTGCTAACTTGGTGTTTTCGGGACCCCTGTAGAGACGATTGGTCGACTCTAGAGGACCTGAGTTACGATTTTGAGGGGTGGGGTCGACACGCGAGAGAATCTAAGATATCGTGGAGATACGTAGGTAAGATCTGTGAAGGGAAGCTAGCAGGGTTGGACCCCTCTGACTTGATTCGGGTAGCTATTGCCTGTTGTCGACGGAGGTTAGGGGATGGCCGAGCCGGACCTTGAGGAGCTTGTGGGGTTGGATAGAGTGAGGAAAGAAGTTCAGTGGATCCTTGCTCTGTGCTGGGAGGAAGCAAGGAGAGCTAGGCCCGGGTCTTTAGCCAGGGTCAAGTTGCTAGGGACGGCCACAATCACTATCCTCGACGGGGTCACAATAGACCTTCTCTCGGGGTGAGGGATGAGAGCCACGTTCGTCTCCAATAGGATTCGTTGGGAATTAGAGACCTACGAGGACGGTAGCGAGGTTAGGATCGAGGGGGGTGCCGAGCTTAACCCGGAGTTGGGGGAGGACCGGATAGTTAGCGCCGAGACGGAGTTTCTAGTGGAAGTCCGGAGGCTGGCTTTGTGGAAAAGAAGGAACTGGACCACACTAGCTACCTTTTCGGTCCACATTAGAGACGCGAGTGGAGTGAGATTCTCGAGAACTTGGAGGGAGCCTTTGCTGGAAGTAGAGAGAAAGTTCGAGGAGGACTCAAGGTGTCTAGGAATGCCACTAACGTCTAGGACACACCTTGTGGAAACTCGGTTTTGGGATAGGACGAGTGAATATGAAGAGGCTTTGCGCCAAACCCTAAGGGGGGATGGGGGGACGGGTCGAGCTAGGTGCGAAGACTCTTTGGTCGAAGCCGCCGAGCGCTTAGCAGGCGTGAGGTGAGAACCCCTATGATTAGATACGAAAGGGGGGACCCTTACAGCACCATAGAAAGGATTTTTATGTGGGCAGGGAAATATGGAGTGACTCTTCCTAGGATTAGAGGAGAAGGCGGTGTGACTACGGAGTTCTTTGAGATTTACGAGCAGGAGACGGTGGTCAGGTTCTCAGTGGCCTCCGACGAGAACGACTGCACTAGAAAAGCGGAAATCTTTTTGTCCCCTGACGCCCAGCTAGTCTTCGCAACTGAATTAGCAGAAGGGAAAGACCCTCTAGGCATCGCCGAAAAAACCCTAAAACGAGTACAGAGGTTGAGAAGGGTTGGTACCGGGGGACCCGTATTTGATAAGGTAGAATATCGAGGGAGGGAAGAGGTTCCGAGAGCAGGCCACGGAAGGATTTGGAGTATCCCTACCTGGGCCTATCGACTACTCTATAAGGACGACGAGACCGCGAGGAAAGTCCGATTGAGGAGTCAAGTGATAGAAAAATTCCCGCTGGGCGAGGAAGGGGGACACGAGTTATTCACCCAGTGCTGGGAGTCGAGAGAGGACACCGATTTCGAGTGGTGGGCACGCGTTGGGGAGTTCATCAAGCCTCTATTCTCCGGGCAGCCTGGGGATGTGGACAGGGATTTGATTAGAAGGTGTGCGCAAGAGGGGGTTAGAGGCATTTTGGACCTAGAGGTCGCTAATCTTGCATTGGCCGCCAGTGAGGAGAAAAAACTGAGGGATTCTTGGTGGACAGTGACCAGTGAGGAGTCGGAGGGGGAAGGTGCGGACGAGGATTCTAGTGAGGAGAAGGAGGGAACAGAGGAGGAGAAGAGCTCGGGAAGTAACAGAGACAGTGGTGAGGAGGGCGAGCCGGGTAGTGACACGGACGGTAGTGAGAGAGGCCACTAGAAGTAGCGGATAAGGGTGCATGGAGAGTGAAGCGGGGGCTGGTCTCCCTGGTCCACTGGAAACCACTGAACGAAGGGGGATAGTGAAGAGCCCCGAATTGGGGGCCAGTCTAAGCAAGGTAGTGGAAGAAATGACCAAGGGGAAGGAGATGCTGGATAGGGCCGAAGGGGTCCCGGAAATGGCTCCGGGGGAGAGACCAGCTTCGGAGGGGCAAAGGGCCGGCACGGAAGTGCGAGTGCACAGAGATGTGGGGCCACGGGTGCCGGTAAACGAAGGGGTAACCGAAGCTGCGAGAGGCGTCCCGGTGGAGTCCCGGTGGGCTGACCTGATGGATACGGAAGCCCGATTAGAGAAAGAATGAGAATTCTCTAGAGAGAGACAGGAACATCGACCGCTTAGGGGAGAGGAAGAAGTGTGTCGGGGCGGGAGAGACCTGCGAGAGAGGGGGTCAGCCGAGGCCGACGGCCGGCCGCTGAGATGGGCCGATAGGATTCCGAAGGGCGTCGCCAGTGAAAGGCAGGCCTTAGTGGGACCAAGAACTGGCACGGAAAGGCGAATGCCTGCGTGGGAAGGGATGATCGAGGGCTCGAGAGGCCGGGCGCAAGGATGGGAAAAACCCTGCAATTTCCAAGAGATAGGGGAGGGTACCGACCACTCCAAGGAGAAGAGGAAGGGGGGCAAGTAGAAGGGGTCTTAGAGAAGAAAGGCCGGTGGAGGCTGGAAGTAGGTCGCGTAGATGGGCCGTGAGAGAGGCAGATGCGGCTTGGGCACCTGGCGAGATAACGGGCAGGAGTCAAGGGATGGAGGCCCGGAGGAGTTTTAGAGGGCAGGACCACGCTCGGTGGGAAGCGGACTGGCCGGATGAGCGGGGTCGCTACGGGGAAGACCCTTGGGAGCCATCAAGACTCCGAGGGCGGGTAGAGGAGCCCAATCCCTCGTAGTACAAGCCGTACGATCCGGCAACCGATAGACCTATGGAAGGTCCCTATTTTCGCCGATATGACGACCGACGGGTGCCCTATTATGGCGTCAACTTGGGTCTGGAGGCACTTTTTTTCGATGGGCGAGATGTAACTGGATTCGTGGAGAAATGAGAAAGTTACGCCTACTGCAAGAGATTCTCCGAAAGGGAGTGGATCGACTATTTTATCCAGCACTCGAACCCCGAATTGGACACTGCGATTTGGGCTATCTACCCCTCGGACGGTTGATGGAGGACCTTCAGGGCGAGCCTATTGCAGACTTTTGCCTGTGATGACTTAATCCCTACCGTAGAGGGCTTGCGACGGATTACAAGGGGGGAACGAGAAAGCTTGGTAGCCTTCACCAGAAGGTTCAAGCGCTTATCCCAAACCCTAGTGGATAGGGCATGCTGTCCGAAGTAGACAGGTGCGTAATGTTCAAGTTCATGCTACACCTGCCTGAAGAAAAGAGGAAGGAGGTCCTTGAAAAGGCCCCGAGGGATTCTGCAAATTTCGAGAAAGTAGCCGAAGTGGTTTTCACAGGGGGAGGGGTAGACGTAAGAGAATACATGAAAGAGACCTTGGAGATGGCTATCCGCAACATGCGAGGGACACGGAACGATGGTCCAAGAGGGAGCGATAGACCACCACCGACTCCGCCTGGTCCCCGGTGGGGAGACCGGCCTGCCGGATGGAGGAACGAGTCAAGTGGCCAGGGAGGTTGGAGGAACGACAGGGAGATAGGGGGAAATCGTGGTTCCGATTGGGGAAACTTCCATTGGAAGGATGCTGGGGATGGAAGGTGGGGAGACGCCCCTCAGGCTAGGGCCTCTGGGCCGCGACCGGAGTTTAGAGCGCCACCACCTTCGGCACCGCCGCCACCGGCTCCGCCTGCGCCCATAGCGGCAACAACACAAGGGGTTCCGCGTCCCAACAATCCCAAAGCTCGGGTCGGGTGTGTCTACTTCAATGAAGAAAACCACATCAAAAGGGACTGCCCTTATCTCACGGAGGCGTTGAGATTGGGAGTGTGTGGGGAGATAGCGGAGAGGCGGTCTTCTTCTATCCATCGATGAAGGTGAACGTGGACAAGAGGGTGGCCCTTCAAGAGGCTAGGCTAGGGAAGAAGCCGGAGGTCGGGGGCTCCTTTAGCGCGGCTCACATCCAAATGGTGGAGTCACCGCGAGGGTTGTCCATTAGGGAACCCCAAGTATCCAGCATCAAGTTCATAGATACACAGGCCGAGGAGGAGAGGCCCTGCCTAAGGGTGAGGACGCAGGTCGGGGCTGAGACATCTGAGAACCAAGCGAGCGTGACGGAAAGTACGAAGGTGAAAAGCGGCGACAATGACCAACCAATAACCGATACGAAAGCAGTGGAGGAAAAGAAAGAAGAGCCCACTTCGCCAAAATCACATAAGAAAAGGGGTCCCAAAAAGTTCGAAATGAAGTGCACCCTGGATGAGATAGATACGGTAGCACCCTTTAGGCGAACGCTGATGCAGCCCATGCAGTGCACCCTTTTAGAATATCTAGCCGCGAGCAAAAGTGTCAGAGAGGAGCTGCTAAGCATCACAAGGAAGGTGAGAGTCCCGCTCGCTGTAGGGCCCACGGTGCCGGTGGAAGGTCCCACCAAGGAAGAAGTCCAGGCCACCCGCATTACCATGGAGGAGCTACCGGCAAATTTCTTCTCGGGGGAAGAGGCCAAGAAGTTCTACGTGCTAGGCACAAAACCGTGGCGGAGAAAGTGAAACCTGCCGCGGTCAGCCGGGATAGAACGGGGGAAGCTACGATATCGGAAGAGGAGATAGCCGATTTCATCAGGAAGAGAAAAGAGATGGAGGGGCAAAGGATAACGGCCGATCGACTGGCCAAAATGGATATAGGAGATGGGAATCTCACGGAAAAAGAAAAAGAGTTCATAGCAATGACCTTAAGGGACTGCGATAAGGCCATTGCCTTTGATGACTCGGAGAGAGGGAGAATCGGCCCAAGGTACGCTGAGCCTGCCCGGATCCACACAGTCCCCCCCGTCCCTTGGAAGAATAGGCCTCAATGGAAGTATGCTCAAAAGGAGAAAGAAAAGATAGTGGTCTTCATCAAGGAAAAGATCAGGACATTCGTCGCGGAACCTTGCGAGAGTGCCTACTCCAATAAGTGGTTCTTTTGCGGAGAGATATTATAGCCAATTCAAGAGGGAAGTGTTGGGGGTACTGCATTGTCTGAAATCCTTCCGTCACTACTTGTACGGACGACGATTTCTCCTAAGGTTGGACCCGACGGCAGTGGCCGCGATCTTCCAAAGGGATTTCTCATTGACGGATCCGACCATCGCACGCTGGATGATCCATATCAGGCTTTATGACTATAGGGTCGAGAGGATATCGGGGACCAAGAACCAGGTCGCCGATGGACTGTCCCGGCTTCCCATTCGAGAGGAGGACCTGCCTAGGCTTAAGAAGGAAGAGGAGACAATGGTCGAAGAGGCGATAATGAAAGTGGCTGCCAATAGGGCGCAAGTAGCAGGGAGCAGCCGAGGGGAGGAAGGGGGCCCAAGGACCTTTCTCGCGAATCTCTACGACGGGAAATACCGAGACATAAGGCTGTACTTGGCCGGTAGGGAAACAGGGACTGAAAGAATCCAGCAAGAAGCCCTAGGGTATTGCCTAAGGGGGGGCCACCTCTTCAAAAGGCCCACCAAGTTTGCGATACCCATGAGGGTGTTGTGCAATCCGGAAGAGAGAAGGGCGGTTATAGAAGAGTTACACGATGGGGTCGTTGGAGGTCACAGGGGGGTGAAGAGTACTTTCGACAAGGTCCGTAGGCTTTATTGGTGGGACGGACAATACACGGAAGTAGAAAAGTACTGTTCGACGTGTGAGGCTTGCCAGAAGAGGGCGACGATCCGATACAAAGAACCCTTAGTTCCATCGCTTCCCACGATTCCGGGTGAGAAGGTCCACGCAGATTTGGTAACCATGCCAAAAGGGGTCGGCGGGCTATGGTATATAATCAACGCCTGGGATGACCTAACGGGATTCGTAGAAGCAAAGGCCATTAAAAAGAAGACGGTAGAGGAGGTAAGTGAATTTCTCCTTGAATATATCGCACAATATGAGTGTGTCGGGAAGATGGTCATGGGCAGGGGAGCAGAGTTCTTGAGTCAGAAGGTAAAAGGGTTGTTGGAGAAGGCAGGCATAGGGGCGGCCTATACGACTGCCTATCACCCCCAAAGCAATGCACCAGTAGAAAGGGGCCACCAGACACTTGTGGACGCCCTAGCAAAGTGGTGCAAGGGTCGCGCGGAGCAATGGCCTAAGTATTTACGGTACACAGTTTGGGCAGACAACATCATGGTCAAATCGAGTACTGCGTACCCTCCTTACACCCTTTGGTTCGGCAGGCATTGTCCCCTACCCATTGAGTTCCACATTGACACTTGGACAAGTGTCTCATGGAAAACCAACATGTCTAGGGGTGAGCTATTGGAAGCACGGATACAGCAGATAGCCGAGAACTTGGATGCCGGGGTAGCCACGACCAGTGAGAACATCGAGAGAGAGAGGGTGAAAGGGAAAGATAGGTGGGACAAAAATCTGCGGGTCCGAAAGGCGCCGATAGGGGTCGAAGACCTAATCCTGATGTACGATTCGTCACTGGAAAAGACCTGGAGCCGAAAATTGGCAAACCGATGGATGGGGCCGTATAAGGTCCTAAAGAGATTGGACGGGGGGGCTTATATGCTCGCGGAATTAGATGGGAGTAGGCTACGGGACCCTATCGCAGGGGCTCGTCTCAAAATCTTTTGATCAAGAGGGACCCTTGGAGAGGAGCCAAAACGAAAGGGGAAGGAAGTGCTCGAAGCAGAATTGACCATCACACATGAAAAGGGCGAGACCTCCATACAAGGGGCCTCGTCTCGCCCAACCAGGAAGGGGTATAAGGTTCAGAAGCCTTCGCTACCAAAGACCCCTAGGAAGAAGAAAAGGCCTAGAGAAGAAGAAGGTGACCCCGACCAGCTAGGGAAGCGCCGGCTAAGAGAGAGGAGGAGTGCCTCGAGGAAAAC